CTCTTTCAAAATGGATGGGGAAATAAGACACTTCCACGACAAAGAACACCTGAGAAACTACATGAATACCAAACCAGAACTACAAGCAATTCTAAACAAGTTCCTAGAAAAAGACAATGAAGGCAACAACACCATGAGGCTTAACAGAACAAATCAAACAGGCAAGGCAAGAAATTAAAAGAAGGTGAAAAAGTAAAATGAGTAAACAAAAGGCCAATAACATGTCAATAATAAGTCAATACATATCAGTTATAAGCAGCAATGTCAATGGCCTCAACTCACCAATCAAGAGAAATAGACTGGCAAAATGGAATAAGAAGCAAAATCCAACATTATGTTGTATACAAGAAACACACCTAGTGCAAAAAGAAGCCCATAGACTGAAAGTGAAAAGATAGAAAACAATTCTCCATGTGACAGGAGCTCAGAAAAAAATAGGGGTAGCAATCTTATTTGCAGACAAAGTAAATTTCAAACCAAAACTGAATCTAGTATTATTGATGTAGGACAGTACTGTATCATACCTTTATGAATGTAAAATATCTTGTACCTGCTTTATGATACGTAGTAGGGACCGTGCTTTATCAGAGCTACATTTAACGATATTACTCTAGAATGTTCTCTTTTCAGATGATGATTAAGAGGCTAAATAGAAAAAATGGTGCCAGGTACCATAACAGCAACAGAATTTTGCTGTTGTCTGGATATTATTCTTTTCTTTTCTTTTTTTTTGTTTAATGGAATGTGCTGAATGTCTATAATTTTGTTCAGATGACTGCAGAACCTGAAAAAGCTGTTGCTGCTATTGATGCATAACATACTATTATTAGTCTTTATATATGTGTGTGTGTGTGTGTGTGTGTGTGTATACACACACACACATATACACACACATATATATAAATTGAATTTTGTGAAGCTAATGGTGCTGCCAACTTTGGAAAAAGTCATCCAATTTACTGTGTTGAGTTGGCATTGTACAGAAATGGACCACCACATTGATCTAGAAATGTTCATTTATTTATTTTCCATGTGTACAGGGGTTAACACATCATACTAAATATGTAAGGTCATATCTATGTGGGTTTGATTACAGAAACTAATAAAGTATTCTCTAAATAATGAAAAAAAGAATAAGACTATAGGAGTGAGAAGCAATTTAAATATGTTCAGGGACCATTTTCATCTCCAGAATTAAGGATTATTTTAATGTTACATCATTGCCTTTTCTCTTTTACTTTCCTTTGCAGTTTTATTTTAGGGTTCCCTATTTTTAATGTTCATACAGAGATTTCTTTAAATGAAATACTGAATAGTTTCTTTGGTGTGAAAAACTATAATAGTACGCAGGATCCTAATGAGATAATTAATAATGTGAAATAGGAAGTAAAGGGCTAAAGGTGTAGGGAAAGTGGGAAGGGTGGGGGAAAGGTAATAAGGGAGAGGGAAAAAATGTGAGAAACTGAAAAAATGGAAATAAAGTGCTTGTAAATGAGGAGGGGAGGAGGGGGTGAAGGGAGGGCAGGGACAAGGGGAAAAAAATGAGAATCAAGACCTATTATGTAAAGGTACAGAATCCCAATGATGAATGTAATTGTATTGTATACCTAGATTGTACCAATAAACCTGTGATTAGCTTCAAAAAAAAAAAGAAAGAAAGAGCAAAAAATCCTGAGTTTGATCTACGGTACCACCAAAACAAATAAAAAAAATGAAATGCAAGCCAGGTATAGTGGTACATGATAGTGGATGCCTATAATCCCAGTACTTGGGAGGCTGAGGCAGGAGGATTGCTGCATTTTCAAAGCTGTCATGGGCTACATGTCATGAGTTCAAGACCAGCCTGAGCTACATAGTGAGATTATACAGTGTTTCCAAAAACCAAAAAGAGTGGGATATGGTGGTAGAACCCTGTAATCCCAGCACTCTAGGCTGAAGCAGGAGGATCTCTGCAAAATGAAGGTTAGCCTGAATTAGAGAGGAGACCCTGTCTCAAAAAAAAAAAAAAAAAAAAAGGGAAGGCGTAAGAACACAAAGTAAAAAATAAGAACCAAGATACACCATGTAAAAGTATGAGATCCTAATGAATGTAACTGTATTGTGTACCTAAAATATACCAATAATCTTAATTTAAAAAAAAGTAATACACACATACTCACACTCAAGCTAGAAACAATTCCAATTTTAAAAATTCCACCTGGGGCTTGGTGTGTTCCTCAGTGCTGGAGTGCTGGCCTAGCACGTGGAGGCCAAAGGTCCAACCCAAGGTCTGCAAACAATCCACTTTCCAATAGCAATAAACATATTCTATGCACATATTAAAGAAAAAATTAAAAAGAGATGTGTAAAGGTCATTATTGAGAAAATGGTAGCAAAATTAAAACATTTTAAAGTATCTAAAT